GATTCCTTCGAAAATTCTTACGGAAATGAAAATTTTCAATATAAAAAAGTGATTTTCGAAAAAAGATGTTTCTGCGCTAACCGATTCAGTTACATAAAAAAAAAATTGATAAAACAATTTTATATATCGTGAAATAATTATTGAGATTTAAATGAAAGATATATTGTTACAGATTGGTGCGTATAGGTATCAATAAGACATTATTAACCGCACAATCAGTTATGTATATGTGGTTTCTTGTTTCTTCTCTCCTTGTGTCTTCTTTTTTTGGGCAAAGTATATTATAGTAGTTTGGCCTTTTAGCGGTTAAAGTAGTTTGATTTATTTTTCCTGCCGCAAAACGAAGGGAGGACATCGTAACATTAAGTCGAATTACTAGCTGCATGTTTTTATAAAGTTGTTTTCACATAACAGTTGAGCCGTTACAAAGATATACAACGTTCAATAGTACCTGCTGTGATTAAATAACCCGTATCGCACACTACGGGGCAAAACCGGTCGTTCTTGTTCTGTTTGGTTAAGAGGAAAAAATATCATCGGACTGTAATTCTACAAATCTTTATTAATGTACTAACTCCCACATATATATATATATATATATCTCAGAGATTCTAATTTTATATTATCTTCTAGAGTTCTTTTGAATCAACTGTCAGTAATATTGTAATAGAGAATATAGATCATAATCAGTCATCAATTTCTTCTACAAATAAATGTGGAGTAATCTAAAAGTTTTTTTAGAATAATAATAATTTTTTTTATTTTTTGAAACCGTACCGTTTAAATTTCAATTTTTCCATAATTTTATACACGCGGAGAAAAAAGGAAAAATGAATAAAGTAACTTTTACTATACTTTAAAAGTAAAACCGAAACTGTCTATAATTTCTGCCCATTTCTGTCAATTTTTACTTCGGAAATAGTAAAATTTACTCCGAAAATAGTAAAAATTACTCCGGAAATAGTAAATTTTACTATTTTTGGAGTAAAAATTGACAGAAATGCGCAGAAACTGCGGAAAGTTCCGGTTCTTAAAACGCCAAATTTTTAATTGTCTGAAATTGCAAATGGCCGAACAAACAATCGAGAGAAATATTTCAGCGCGATTTTTAAATTCTACCAATCACAATTTTCTTGATAACTTTTGATTGGTGAATTTTAAACGTCGTGCGGAAATTTTTCTGACGATAGTTTAATTTGGATATTTGCAATTTCGGACAAATAAAAATTCGGCGTTTTAAGAATCGAAACTTTCCGCAGTTTCTGCGAATTTCTGGCAATTTTTATACTCCAAAAATAGTAAAATTTTACTATTTCGAGAATAATTTTTACTATTCTCTGAGTAAATTTTGCTATTTTTTACTATTTTTATTTGTCTGAAATTACATATGGCCGAACAAAAAATCGACAGAAAGATTTCGGCGGAATTTTTGAAAATTATGTCTAATTTCTAAATTAACAAGAAAATCGTGAATAGTCGCAATTTTCAAAAATTACGCCAATATCTTTCTGTTGATTTTTTGTTCGGACATTCGTAATTTCAGACAAATAAAAATTCGACGTTTTAAAAACTAAAATTTTCCGCAGTTTCTGCGCATTTCTGGCAATTTTTATACTCCAGAAATAGTAAAATTTACTCAGAAAATAGTAAAAATTACTCCGGAAATAGTAAATTTTAGTATTTTTGGAGTAAAAATTGACAGAAATTCGCAGAAACTGCGGAAAGTTTCGATTCTTAAAACGCCGAATTTTTATTTGTCCGAAATTGCAAATACCCAAACTAAACTATCGTCAGAAAAACTTCCGCTCGTCATTTAAAATTCACCAATCAAAAGTTATCAAGAAAATTGTGATTGGAGGAATTTAAAAATCGCGCCGAAATATTTCTCTCGATTGTTTGTTCGGCCATTTGCAATTTCGGACAATTAAAAATTCGGCGTTTTCAGAACCGAAACTTTCCGCAGTTTCTGCGAATTTCTAGAAATTTTTATACTCCAAAAATAGTAAAATTTTACTATTTCAAGAATAATTTTTACTATTCTCTGAGTAAATTTTACTATTTCTGGACTATATAAAAATTGCCAGAAATGCGCAGAAACTGTGGAAAGTTTTAGTTTTTAAAACGTCAAATTTTTATTTGTCTGAAATTACAAATGTCCGAACAAAAAATCGACAGAAAGATTTCGGCGGAATTTTTGAAAATTATATCTAATTTCTAAATTAACAAGAAAATCGTAAATAATCAATTTTCAAAAATTGTGCCAATATCTTTCTGTCGATTGTTTGTTCGGACATTTACAATTTCGGACAAATAAAAATTCGGCGTTTTAAAAATTCTAGTAAATACAAAATTTGTATTCTAAAAATTCTGTCAATTAAAAATTCTTTAAAAAAGAAATTCTGGCAAATATATTAATTCGAAAAAAGGAAAATTCTAGAAAATAAATATATCTATTAAAATTTTAAATTCTAACTACTGATTTTTATGGTATAATATCGCCCCTCTTGTTATCCAAATATATTTTTCCTCTTACAGAAATTATATTGTAAGGGCATGTAAAAATTATTCAAGTTGAATTTTACTTTTTTTTTAAAATTATTTATTTGTTCCAGTAAATTTTCTATATAAGTTGTAGAAGATTATGACCTATAACAATAGAAGAAGTCCGAACAGTATAATTCGGAACTTCTCAATATTAAAAAAAAAAAAAAAAAAAAATTAGTCCTGATAATGGAAAAAGATAATCAACATGAAAAGAAGGAAGATCTGTGAGAGTTTGTAGAAAAAATCGTGAACTAGACTTGAACATTGTGTCCAAACTCGCTGGGGGCAGCAGATGTGTTGCAGAAAAGTTAATCGGGGGCGGAGGGCGTTTCTGAAAGTGAGTTTTTGCGAGTAGAGCGCAATCGCGAGATTCAGTCCGACGCCTGCGAACTCGAAGGTGATAGGAGTTGAGGCGCCGCCCACCATTCTATTGGAGACTACCTTATTTCTGACGTTCTCCAACCACCTACTACCTAGAACCTTCAGTCACCGCAACCACCCCTCGGCAGAAAGATGAGAGAAAGCAAGTGCGCACGTGTTTCCTACACCCGCAATTACTTATTTGCTTCCCACCCTCACTTACACTCCCCCACCATCGATGGAATTCTCTCTTTTTATATGAAGGAAACTTAGCTGCGGAGGAGAAGGCGTATTCAACGTACCTGGATATATACTTCTAGAACCGCATTCGTTTACGCCCTTTCGTATATATATATATGCCAGTCGATATTATACATTGTAGGACAACTCCAAGGTAGAACGCAGGTCCAGTGAGGAACCACCTCCTTTGAATCGGCTGCAGGTGTCTCTCGACAGGTGCGATTAGCTTCGAGAGTAAGTTATGGCCATCCCGGGCGAACAAGCCCTCGACTTCCGGGAGCTGGATCAAGGGCTGAGGGAGGTGAGAGAGCTCCTGGTTATATGGAGAGTCAGGGGTGAGATATGCTGATTATCTTCAAGATAGTCCAAGAACCACTATGGAACTGAGTTGAATGTATTCGCTACTGCCAGGAAGAGGTTTCGCTGAATAAGGATGGTTACTCTTATTAAACTCTTTTTTTTTTTTTTTTTTAGAAATGGGATCTGGAAAAGAGTTTCCTGTAGCTAGAATAGGAAAAAGAAAATTAATTTGTACACATCAGTTATAAAAATTCCATTGAAAAATTACTATTTTTCTATATAATTTATCTCCAGCTCTAAATTATCATTTTTTATCAAATCCTTCCCTATATGCGGATTTCATCTCATTTCAATTGTATTCTGAAATTGATTTTGTAAAATGCTCAAGCTTCTTGTCTTATGATCAAATTTTAAGTGATAATTGTGATAAATATCCTTCGCTATTTTTTTTTTAGCTAAAATTTTCTAAAAACTCAAAAATAGTATTCATTGTCATGTGCCAGAATATATTAATTAAAAATTTATTTTTAAAAAATTGCATATATTTAGAGAAATTACTATAATTGAATTTTCCTCAAATTTATAATTTTTGAAAAATAAATTTTATGAGCATTAACTCTGATGAATCCTTAAACTATTTTTGAATTCTTTACAAAAAATTTTAGCTAAATAAAATATTTTACGAAAAAATCTGTGGAGAATATTAGATCGCGATTTAATACAATGGAGGAATGTCAAAGTCTCGTTAATAAGCGGGTTTCGGTCCTGGGCCACAAAATCCTGAAAAAAATGTATTTATTTTTGTAATTACTCTTTTATTCGCCCTTACGTTGGTTTCAATTTCTAAAAATTTATCAAACACTTACCATATAAGAAAAATCCCTTGGTATTTCCTTAAACTCAAAAAAAAAAAACACTGATCCAAAAGCCATAAATAAGATTTCCAATCATCTATAAATTATCTCAAATTTTTTCAGAATTGCCCTGCATTTTAACAGCAACGACGTCTAAAAATTAAAAAAATAAATTGTAAATAATTATAAAAATAAATTATAAATAAATTATTATCTAATTATAAATTTATTATATGTACAGATAAGGTACAGGTAAGAAGAGCGATAGTACAAATATAAATAAATAAAAAATAAATATAAATTTTATGGAAAAATTATATTTTTTAAATTACACTTACGTTTTGAAATATTGTCATCCCTTCAAAATGTTTCCAGTAACATATAATGACAAAAATAAAAGGGACCTTAGAGGCAAAAAATTGTAGGTTATTTAGTTACAGTTATTAATTAAATCTTTATCTTTAATATAAAAACTAAAATTCAGTTTTTATTGAAATATTTTGAAGACATAAACATTTGTATTAAGAGTTGATCCTCTTTGTGTATTTCCAATTCGAAAATTACAAACATAACCTACAATTTTTTTTTACATCTAAGGTCCCTCCCTCCTGAAATATCAATAAAATTAAATCCTAATTCCAGTACCTTCAAAAGCTGAAATTTAAATTGGAAGTGACGGAATATTAAAAAAACACCATAATGTTAATAAATATATATTAGTTTTATTTCTATAATAATATAATAGACAATATGATAATATATATTTATTCTAAAATACGATTTTATCGATATTATATAATAATGACTCACTGTAACGCAACGGAGACTTAATGCCTTTATGATATTTTGATTTTTGATTTAAATATTATATATAAGTGTATGTAAATAATATAAGGCACATCTGGCTGTTTTTTAATCAATTTTGACACAATTATGACTTAAAAAATAAAATGTCCCACAAGTAGAATTTTAATTGAACACGTCGTCTACTCACATATGGGTATATCATCAAGTTTTATAATTTAATTTGATAAATAAAAATACATTTGCGAAAAAACACTGTCGTAACTTGTATGATAAAAATGTCGAGAGCGGTAACATCATACATTCTAAATACCAAGTAGCGTTTCTACTTAACTATAAAAAGTAAATTGGTCGATTGGGGGGGGGGACACTGAGTATAGGCGAGTTGTGTTAAAAAAAAAAAATCTAGATGCTGCACTCACAATGACAAAAAAATGATAACTAGTTAGCATCTAAAAAATGATCATTTGACATTCGAGACTTTTGTTCGCGCATTATAATTTGCTCACGCAAAAAAATACATCAATTCGTTTTTTTTTTTTCCATAAAGATTTCAATTTTTTGATCTAAACTTCAACTTTATAAGGTGATCCGGGAATATGATCTTCACCCCATTTAACAATAACTATATATTCCCCTCGTTCACGAACTAAGTAACTTACATTATAGTTATTTCGTCCTGCGTGCTTCACGTAAACTTCCTCGCAAGGGCCTTTGGGTCCGTATACACCGCAGTATAAAATGTTGTTTCCTAAAAAAGAAATATTTAAAAATATTAAAAATAATTTCTAAATTTTAATAGTACATTTAAAAATTGTACGTGAGAAATTGATTTTGCTTTAGGTATATTTGTATTTTTATTTTAAAAATAAAAATCATTGCATATACCTGCATCTGTAGCATTGACAGAGAATTGATTTTGTTTTCCTAGATAAGCTTTCTTTAGTCCCATTCCTTTACTTGATACTTTACTGGCATCCGATTTGAAACGAGGGAGAACAGGACCGGTATTTTTTGCTTTGGATATTTTTTGCACAGTTTCAACAACAATTGTGCTTGTTTCTTGAGCTCCCCTTTCAGCCAAGTCTTTTCCTAAAAAATAAATTTGAAATATGAAATTTCAATTGTATTTAACTCAAAAAAAAAATGTTAATTGTAAAAATCTAAATTTACCTGTCGCTGTAACTTTATAAGGCGATCCGACAGTATGATATCCATTATATTTGATGCTGATGTAGTAATCGCCTGGTACCAATGGGGTGTACCTGACTTTATAGCCTTCTTCAACTTCTGTACAATCCATTGCAACTTTACTGGGACCATCAACAGTGACTCCAAGAGCACCGGAACCCGCGTTACATGTGTCAATAATAAAGTCAGTTTTCTGTCCTGTCTTAACTTCACCCAATCCATTTCCATGAACGTGAATAGCAGCCGGATCGGCATCAACTTTTCCGACTTTCACTCTATAAGGACTTCCGTTAATGTGAACTCCATTGAATTTCAGATGAATGTTGTGTACTCCATTTTCATGAGGCATAAACCTCACCGAGTATTCCTCAGAGTCGATTGCCTGGATGAAACAATCATCCTCAACTCCACTGGGCGAAACAATCTGAAAAAAAAAATCAATCAAATCTTTAATTTATATTCAAAAGAAAATATTTTGAAAATTTAATTCATAAATAATTATTTTCAATTTCTTAATGTAGAATATGAAAATTAATTTATTGTAAAAGTGACATTTTTGGCAATTAAATTTCTAAATGCTTTTTTAATCTAAAATACTCAAGCCGTTTAATTTTTATGCTGTTAGATAAAAATATTTGCTTTTGCACTCCTCTCATATTAAATTCCTCCCACGTGTTATGATACAGTATGGTCATTTCGTAAGAGGGGGAAAGCTATATTTAAAATGCTTTGCGAAAGAAATAAATTGTCCTTAGCTTCAAAAATATAGTGTAGATATGCAGAGTCTTGAAGATGTCAATTAATTTCTATATTCCGTTTTCTCGAATTTATAAAAGAAAATTAATTTACCTTTCCATCGAGTTGACCTTTGGCGCCATTGTTACGAACAAGGAAAGTTGCTGGCTTGTCAATTTGTACTCCGGCATCAGGAAATTGAGCTATTTCCACCTTATGAGCATCACCCATTGCTGGAGAAATGTAAACCTTGTGTGGAGAATCCGGGATGTGTTGATCATTGAATTTTATTCCTACCCTGTATTCACCTGAAATTAAAATATTCAAATTAGTCAAATTCAAAGTATTGAAATTATTACTTTAATTTAATTAAAATCAAAACTATAATTAATTAAATTAAATTGAAATATGAATTAAAAATCCAATTATTCCAATTTGAAATTAAGTATAAATTAAAATTGTATAATGCAAATTGAAAACAAATTTGAAAAATTATCACTACTACAGTAAATTCAAATTTCTTCATAGCTGAAAATTTAAAAAATTAATAATCATATCCTCCTAACTGACCGTCATCCTCAGATTCCTGATTCTTATCGTCTGAGATCATAATTTGAGTACACGACTTAAAGGTGCTCATCTTGAGAAATTAACTAAAAATAATATATCTAATAACCGGAAAGAAGACACAAATTCGTAAAAAAAATAAAAGGAAAACAAAAAAGGCAGAAATTAGAAAATATTCTTAGGCAAAGTAAAATTAAAAAAAAAAAAAATTGAGAATACGAGAGTAAAAGGGGAAGAAAAATAAAAAATAAGGGAAAGGAGACGAATGCCGCTGTAAAAGCGGAGATTGGTCGCGCACCACTATACTTTTCTCAAACCGAATCAGATTCTCAAACTCAAATATTCTCTTCTTCAACGTTTTTCGTTCTTGCTCTCTGTCTCTCTTCTAACTCTCGAAAATTGATCTTCCTCTCTTACTTCTTTTTGGCGACCCAAATATAATTCGCATTCAGAGCATCGTGGCAACAAATATATTCATGCCACCAAAATATGAATCTACCTTAGTAAATATAGTCGACGATATTTCGGGATCATGAAAAGAGGAAGGGTTGAGATGATAATCCACACCAAGTTGATGATGGAACTTGGTTAAAAAAAATTGAAAGATAAATTTGGTTCGGTGGGGAAGTATACGCAATCTTGTGGACCACTCAAAAAATTTCAATTTCGTCTTGTCAATATTATACATATGATGACTAATCATTGCGACCGTTGCTCTTATCTGAAATATTATGATTTTGAATATTCAAAACTTGGTTAAAGAAAGAAGATTTTAATTTGATTTCACGGTTGAAATGATTGTTCTTGACCTATTTGTTTAAAAATGCAAAATCCCTGGCATGAAAAGAGTTTAATTTAAGAAAGAGATTCCACTTTATCTACATCCTTGCCAGTAATCTTGAATTTTTTGTCAAGCTGCCAAAAAATTTTCCAAAAAAATTTTTTTAAAAGCCTCTGCATTGATAAAGTTAAATAAACAGAAAATTGATCAATGGCCTAAGAGATGATGAATACCTCTATTTTACAATTTACTTCTTTGAATTTAAATTTTGAAATATAAAAAACTTGCCTGGTTCAGAAACAACGTAACTGACATAACAGCTGCCGTCTTTGCGATCCTTAAAGTCAATTTGAGCTTTGCTCGGTCCCTCAACAGAAACTGCAAGTGTTCCAGCACCAGCTTCCCTTGTCCAAATATTGAATTCACATGGTTCGCCCTGTTCTCCTCTCTCGAGTCCGGGACCTCCAGCGTGAACTCTATGAGCTCCACCATCTCTCAATGGACCAACAGTGAATTGGAAAGGTGATCCTGGAATGTGCAATTCCTTGTACTTGACAGAAACAGTATGCACACCGAGTTCCTTTGGCACAAAAGCAACAGCATAAAGGCCATCCTCAATCTCCTTAACTTCGGCGTCTTCAGTGACACCACCCGGTGATGTGACAGTTGCCGTCAAATCAAATGACGTGATACCAGGCATTTTAAATGTAAGTTTACATTGACTGCCAACTTCCGTAATGGGAACAGCTTCCCTTTGTCGTTGAATTTTTTCACGTTGACGATTGCTTCCTTCTCCTGCAACTTTAACTGTAAATGGAGAACCCTCTACATGATGATCGGCAAATTTCAAATTCATAATATAATATCCTGGCTCTGTTGGTTTGTATGAAATATTTAATGTGCCATCCTCATTATCTTTGCACTGAATTTCGGCTTTACTTGGTCCTTCCATTGAGAGGGATAAGCCACCGTATCCAGCGTTTCTTGTATCAATTGAAAAAGTATTTTCCACATGAGTTTTCCCCTCCTTGAGGGCATTGCCCTTCACCTTGACTTTCTTGGCGTCACCAACTTCACGATCCTTGACGTCGATTTTAAATGGAGAATTGGGAATGTGCTTGCCCATTCGTTTCACTGCAACTGTATGCTCTCCAGATTCGCGAGGAGTAAATGAAACACACATATTTCCACTGGGCATTTTTTTCAAGAAACATGGCTCCTCCAAACCACTTGGCGCTGTAATTGAGGCATTTAATGATCGAATATCTTCGTCGGACACTTTGCCTGGAAGTTGAACTTCACTCGATGATCCTACTGATATTTGATTTCTCTTGCGACCCTCGCCTGTAAATAATTCACAAATAGATAAATAATTTTAGAAAATTGAAATAAAATATTAAAAGAGAAGAATATTAGAAATTTTAGGAAAATTTTTGAAAAAAAAGCTCACCAGTAATTTTGGCATTGTAAGGACTGCCTCTGATGTGTTTATCTCCGAATTTGACGGTGATTTTGTATTCTCCGGGTGCTGTTGGTAGATAAGATACAGAAACTGTTCCATCTTTGTTATCGTGGCATGAAATTTCAGCTTTACTTGGGCCTTCAACTGCCATGGATAAACCACCTGCTCCTGCTCCTTTGGTGGAGATTGTGAAATTTCCTGGTTCACCGCAAACGCCATAAATTAAACCAGGACCATAGGCAGTCACATAACCACTTGCTAAAGAATCCACGTGGAATTTATAAGGAGAACCTAAAAAATAAATATATTGTTTCAATTGAAAATCATTTTAATTTTTTTTTTTTTTTTGAAAAATTTTTTTTAAAGAACTATTTTTACAATAAAAAAAAGTCTTCTAATAATAATAATAAAATCCAATTGTTTTGAGTACGTATTTAAAATATCGAAATCTTATTTTTAAATAAGTACTTTTTATAAATAATTTTATATCTATTATTCGAAAATAAAGTCAAATTGCCATTTGGCAAAATTGTCCAAACACACATGGAGCTACAAATGAAAATGAATATAGTATTTAATTTTAATAGTCTTTGGATTAGGTGATTCGTGCTGACAATTAGTTAACATAAATTGCGAACAATTAATGTTGACAATCTGAGAGAAATCTTAAGCACAAGTGTAAGCAATTTATCGTCTTAGTTTTTGGTTGGTCGGTCTCTAAATTAATAACCTTACTGAAATAGCATTTAATTTCGTTGTTTCTATCTTGAATTTATCATTTTAACAGCGAATTTACAATTAAATGATATTTCACTTTCACTGAATGACTGATTTTCATCAAATTTGAATTTCAAATTTTTTTTTTGCATCAGTTTTATGATTTTTAAAATTTGATAAATTTTTCCAGACTTTCGATGACAATTTTTTTTTTTTTTTTGTAAATTCGAAGAGAATTGAAATAAAAAAAAAAATTATTTACTTGAAGAGAATTAAAAGGAATTTACCTGGAATATGTTCGCCATTGAATCTCACGGAAATTTCATGAAGACCTTCTTCTCTTGGATCATATTTGAGAGAAACAGTACCATCGTGATTGTCTTCAATAACAGGTTTATCAATATTTCCACTTGGCATTTTTACTTCAGCTGAAACAATTTATAAAAAAATTAGTTACTTTTTATATTTTAAAGAATTTTATTAGATATAATTTTTTTTTTTTTATCATTACGGGAATATCTTCATTTTTTATGGTTCCTACGTCTGAATAATAATTTATTGTAAATTTAAAGCATAAAAAAATATTGAACTCAAAATTACGATTTCATTGTTATTAATGGGTTAAAGTTAAAAGGAGTGGGCGGAAATTGGGACGAAGCCAAAATGGGCTAAAGAAACTGGAACCGGAAGCACTGGTACTGCTGGATTTAGTAGTTTGATAATTAGGTTGAGAATTATAATTATATTATATTAATTGTTAAAAAATATTTTTTTTTTTGAGAATTACATTATAATATTTTAGACCATATAATCGAAATTAAAATCATTAAAAAAAAATTTCCAATAATATTTATTATCTCAACAGTCTAAAATATTATAACATTTATATTATATATTGTAATTTTTATTAAATTATTTAATTTTATAATTTTTGTTTAAACACAAATGATTTCCAGTTCTTATAATCAGGAATTCAAATCTGATTTAATAATAATCGAATTTCTATTGTAATAAAAAAATTCAAAAAAAAATAAAATACCATAATTTTGGTTCTGGAAAAATATTTATTTTTTAACGGGTTAAAATTCTTTTCATATGTACGACGTACACGATTATTGATAGAGAGCCAAAAAATACTTGGTCCGCTTTCAAAATCATTGAATTAATGGTGGTTCCAAACTTGTAAATTTAGTATAACATTTATAAAAACAATTTTAACAACATTCAATATTTTGAAAAATATTTTTAAATCAATTTCAATGTATATATTTAGAGTTCTGAATTTATTTTAAACGACGACTAATGAACTCAGAAACTCAGGTGAAATGATTAATACAAAAAGGCCTCAACATTGGAAAAAAGATTTTCTTTTTTTTTTTTGAACTTATTTTTACAGAATTTCCGTAGAATTGTTTTTGTTATAGAAAAATTTTTTTTTTCCTAATTAGTCAATAGAAATGAATTTTAATTAAATGAAATTAATTAATTAGAGAATAAAAAATAATAAAACCTTTTCTCGTTTGAATAAAGAAGATACTCTGGAAAACAAGGGGAGTGAAATTAAGTCCGGGAGTTTCTTTTGGTTTGCCAGGCTGAGCGTAACAAATTGGCCCACGTATAGGACGATCAAATTCGCTATGTGTTACACTTTTTAACAAAGCTCTGTAATATGTGGATATTTCCTGCCACGTGGTTGGAACTTCACGCGGTCTAAACATCTCCAAAATGTGCACAAATTACACTAAACCACCTGCTAATTTGTTTTTTCTTATTAACACTGTCAAATAACACCTTTACAAAATTTACAGTCCTCATCAAATTATTAATGCAGATTTCCTTTACAAATGGTTCCAAAGTTGACTTTAATATTTCAAAATACATTTTTTCTCAAATATTTAGAATAACTATTTTTTTTTGGTATAAATAAAAAATCATAATGCACTTCAATTTATAATTATCTATTAATGTAATAATTGTAATAATTATTTAGAAAAAAAACTTTGTAATTAATTTGTAAAATAATTTTTGAAATATCAGTGGTTTCTTTTATTAATTCCTTAAATTAAATTAATCTCAAAAAATAATTTAGAAATTTGTTTAACATTTTCGATTTTTTAAATTAATTTCACATCTTTTCCCTAAGATTAATTTTTAATTATATTTTATCAGTTGTAATAATTAATTACGATTCTTTAAACTACAAGATTTTTACATATTGAATAAAAGGCTTATCACAAAAATTCTATTTGTCACAAAAAAAATTTTCTCGTATAATAATATGCATTATGATTCAATATGTATATAATTCCCTTAGTTTTGAAATATTTTCAGTATACTTTTTTTGATCCTACAAATCACCAACTAAAATCAATTGAAACCGATGTAATTTTCAATTGTGTAGAATATTTTCAAAAACATAATTTAGAAAAAATTCAAAATTAAAAAATTTTCTAAATTAAATTCTATAAATTATTATTTTGGAAACACTGTTAAAGAAAATCTAAAATTACAAAACGCGCACCAATTGAAAAACGATTAGAGAAGTTTATTATTTAATTTTTTTTTTTTTTTACGGATTTGAATTTGCACCACTGTCCTTTAAAAAATTCATACTTCTCAGAAGCACATCGCTAACGAGACTGCCGGAGACAAGATAAACTCAAAGACAGGGATAGTATCGAGAGGTGGCAGCTGCTCGAAATCTTTTCCAGTTGAAGCACACCAGGACGCGATATATCAGGGGTCGCCTGTGTTTATTAAATGACTCTGGTCAGGTCGTCAATTTGGCGCAGACTCCCTGACGAAAATTTCCAAGAAAGAGGGAGATTTCTTAGGCGGAGAAGATATTCATATGTGAGGGAAATACTTAGATATTTAGGGAAGAGAAATTATAGTTACCTCAGAGGTACATAGAAAAATTTATAGAATCATTTCAACTTGAGAGACAGGAAGTGAGTTCCAATTTGACAAACAGAAAAAATGATAATTTTTTTTTTCACTCGATCATATTTTTTTGTCAAATGCTTTTCTATAAAATTTGGTAATTTTGCATCCTAATTTCATTACTGGTCATTTTTTATTTTGCCAGAAGATAATTCAGTTTTTGATTAAAATAACAAGAAAACATTTTTTTTTTTTTGTTTGAAACAACTAAAATAAATAAATAAGAAATATAAAACAGAAATTCTCATTCAAACAAATATTCAAAAATATAAAAACTTAAAGTAGATCAAAGGATTAATTTATTTAATAGTTTTCTATAAATTAGTCGTCTTTAAAAATACATATAAAAGATTAAACGAAGGGTTTTTGGAACAAGTACTGAAATCTGTCCTAGTGAATAAAATATAGATCGTGTGCGTAGGTGATTTCCTGCTTCATAAATTGTATTAAATGTCATGGAGAAAATAATAAAACTCATAAAAACGACATTTTTCTATTTTAAAAAAATTAATTGTCTTGTTAGAAAATATCCCCACTGTTTTTAATTCCTAATCTCTTTCATTCTGAAAGTTTTAAAAATAACTTGACAGAAATAAATACAAACATTTTACATGATGATGAATTTAATAATAATAATAATAATAATAATTAAATATAAAAATCTAATCAAGAAATAATCATGTCAATCAAAATGAACATTGCATTAGGATTCTCTTTCAAAAGTAAACGTATAGTTATAGTTACATAAACATTGAAAATCCTAAAAATATTCGTCGTATTTACATCAGAGAAAATTTATCATCATGGAGCGTGAATAAAATTAAGTTTCATTTTATAATTATGATTCACATTTAGTAAATCGGTCATAAATATGAATTGAACTTACAATTTAATTTAATTAATTTTAAATAAATACTCAAGAAATCAAATAACGTAATAAATAGATTAATTTATAAAGAATAACTTCATTTTATTGGTTTAATAAATTAGAAAAATTTATACTTTTATTTTAATGAAAATAGTAAATTATTTGTAAATAATAAGATAAATTTGTAAGTAAATTATACAAAATGTAAAAGCTTCATAAAATTAGTAACGATCAAGAAAAAGCTTAATAAGTCGGACAGTCAAAAAAGAAAAATCGCCAAGTAAAATATAACGAAAATTAAACCACGAAGTGACTAATAATTCCGAGCTTTTCTCAAAAAATAATCTACATATCAAATTATGATCAGTTTCACGTCTTTCGAAATTCAAAACGTTTTTTCAAGTTTACTTTTTCAGCTTCTTAAAACAACATAAGACATTTATTCCATCTTTAAATAAATTCTTACGACCTATATTAGAAAAATGTTCTTTAAACGTTTTATATAGAAGTCACCAAATAAAATGATATTTAAATTATCTAGTTGTGTACGCCGGGAGTCGAAAACAAAAAATGTATGGCGCACTTCTTGATCGGTTCTGCGGATGCTGAGATACAGTAAAAAACAAATTTGGAAAAAATTACAAAAAATTAAATTTGCAAGATTATCGGTCATGAATACAATCAATAAAATAGTCAAAAAGTTTTAAACAAAAAATGTATGGCGCACTTTTTGATTGGTCCAGCGGATGCTGAGCTACAGTCATAAAATTTTTTAAAAAATTTTGAAAAATTAAATTTGCGAGATAATTGATCGGGAATAGCGCCAAAGTCTTAACCCGGGAGTCTCGAACAAAAAATGTATGGCGCACTTTTTGATTGGTCCAGCGGATGCTGAGCTACAGTAGAAAACAAATTTGGAAAAAATTTACAAAAATTAAATTTGCGAGATAACCGCTGCGGTATACCACCAGAAAAATAGGGAAAAAGTTTCGTACAGAAAATGTATGGCGCACTTTTTGATTGGTCCAGCGGATGCTGAGCTACAGTCAGATAAATTTTTTAAAAAATTTTGAAAAATTAAATTTGCGAGATAATTAATCGGGAATACCGCCAAAGTCTTAACCCGGGAGTCTCGAACAAAAAATGTATGGCGCACTTTTTGAATGGTCCAGCGGATGCTGAGCTACAGTAGAAAACAAATTTGGAAAAAATTTAGAAAAATTAAATTTGCGAGATAATTAATCGGGAATACCGCCAAAGTCTTAACCCGGGAGTCTCGAACAAAAAATGTATGGCGCACTTTTTGATTGGTCCAGCGGATGCTGAGCTACAGTAGAAAACAAATTTGGAAAAAATTTACAAAAATTAAATTTGCGAGATAACCGCTGCGGTATACCACCAGAAAAATAGGGAAAAAGTTTCGTACAGAAAATGTATGGCGCACTTTTTGATTGGTCCAGCGGATGCTGAGCTACAGTCATAAAATTTTTTAAAAAATTTTGAAAAATTAAATTTGCGAGATAATTGATCGGGAATAGCGCCAAAGTCTTAACCCGGGAGTCTCGAACAAAAAATGTATGGCGCACTTTTTGATTGGTCCAGCGGATGCTGAGCTAC